GGGCCAGGCCTCGAAGTTTGACTAATCGCCAAAAAAATTTAAATTGCTATAACTTCATAACTGAATGGAATAGAGTTACCAAACTTTCTGTGGTCGTTTGTCATCCACCCACAAAGTAAAATGAATAGTCGGATGATGACATCACACAAGCCCCGCCCCCTCAGGAGCAAAAAGGTCAAGTTTTACTGTGAAAGGTCCCAAATTGCCCCATTTCACTTAATCACCACAAATTTGTAGCTGGTAACTCAAGACAAGTGGGGGTTGCTTGGCGTCACTTTATGGGAATTTTCGGCAGAGGGCGGGGCTGTGGCGGCGCGAAGAAGACAGGCGTACCGCCGTGGCCTTACGTTTGCCTCCCATTTCGTCATTTCTAAAGATATCGTCACGAAACTTTTTGTGAGTAATCCTAGTCTGGCCCCTCAAACAATCTGATGTCAACATCCGGTGGGCGTGGCCTATTTTCTGAAATAGCGCCCCCTAGGACCATTAAAACTGTCAGCCCCAAGCCATGCTTTGACTGAGGATTACGAAATTTGGTACACTAATGTGGTGTCTCAGGACCTACAAAAAAGTCTCTTGGAGCCAAGTGCAAAGTCGCACAGGAAGTCGGCCATTTTGGTCCAAGTACACGATTTAGTGGTTTTCGCACACGTTGTTTGGAGAGTGATGCTCCGTCGCCCTTTTCACCAATCTCCTTCAAACTTCTGCTATATACTCTTAAGACATAGGGGAAAAAATTCAACCGTCGGATTTTTCAAAAGTTGAAAGTTGTGGGCGTGGCTAAGCCTCAAACTTTGACCTGCCGCCACGCCACTCTTTTTTTCACAGCTCCCTACTGGACTCCTTTTACCCAATCACCAGGATTCTGTGGGAAACAGCAGGAGACAACTTGAGGTTACTTGGTTTCCAGTACTGGCAGGTTTTGAAAAAAGGCGGGGCTTTGGGAGCATGGCGAAAATCGCCATCACGCCATGGAAATACGTTTGCCTCTCATTTCTTCAGTTATCGTGATATCGCTCCGACACTTCTGGTGAGTGATCCTAGTCTGACCCCCAAGAGAAATAGACAGCTGAAGTTTGTGGGCGTGGCCTATTCTCTTAAATAGCGCCCCCTAGGTCCATTTAAACTAATAGCCCCAAGCCAAGCTTTGACTGAGGATTACGAAATTTGGTACACTAATGTGGTGTCTCAGGACCTACAAAAAAGTCTCTTGGAGCCAAGTGCAAAGTCGCACAGGAAGTCGGCCATTTTGGTCCAAGTACGCGATTTAGTGGTTTTCGCACACGTTGTTTGGAGAGTGATGCTCCGTCGCCCTTTTCACCAATCTCCTTCAAACTTCTGCTATATACTCTTAAGACATAGGGGAAAAAATTCAACCGTCGGATTTTTCAAAAGTTGAAAGGTGTGGGCGTGGCTAAGCCTCAAACTTTGACCTGTCGCCACGCCACTCTTTTTTTCACAGCTCCCTACTGGACTCCTTTTACCCAATCACCAGGATTCTGTGGGAAACAGCAGTAGACAACTTGAGGTTACTTGGTCTCCAGTACTGGCAGGTTTTGAAAAAAGGCAGGGCTTTGGGAGCATGGCGAAAATCGCCATCACGCCATGGAAATACGTTTGTCTCTCATTTCTTCAGTTATCGTGATATCGCTCCGAAACTTCTGGTGAGTGATCCAAGTCTGACCCCCAAGAGAAATAGACAGCTGAAGTTTGTGGGCGTGGCCTATTCTCTTAAATAGCGCCCCCTAGGACCATTTAAACTAATAGCCCCAAGCCGTGCTTTGACTGAGGATTACGAAATTTGGTACACTAATGTGGTGTCTCAGGACCTACAAAAAAGTCTCTTGGAGCCAAGTGCAAAGTCGCACAGGAAGTCGGCCATTTTGGTCCAAGTACGCGATTTAGTGGTTTTCGCACACGTTGTTTGGAGAGTGATGCTCCGTCGCCCTTTTCACCAATCTCCTTCAAACTTCTGCTATATACTCTTAAGACATAGGGGAAAAAATTCAACCGTCGGATTTTTCAAAAGTTGAAAGGTGTGGGCGTGGCTAAGCCTCAAACTTTGACCTGTCGCCACGCCACTCTTTTTTTCACAGCTCCCTACTGGACTCCTTTTATCCAATCACCAGGATTCTGTGGGAAACAGCAGTAGACAACTTGAGGTTACTTAGTCTCCAGGACTGGCAGGTTTTGAAAAAAGGTGGGGCTTTGGGAGCATGGCCAAAATCGCCATCACGCCATGGAAATACATTTGCCTCTCATTTCTTCAGTTATCGTGATATCGCTCCGAAACTTCTGGTGAGTGATCCAAGTCTGACCCCCAAGAGAAATAGACAGCTGAAGTTTGTGGGCGTGGCCTATTCTCTTAAATAGCGCCCCCTAGGACCATTTAAACTAATAGCCCCAAGCCGTGCTTTGACTGAGGATTACGAAATTTGGTACACTAATGTGGTGTCTCAGGACCTACAAAAAAGTCTCTTGGAGCCAAGTGCAAAGTCGCACAGGAAGTCGGCCATTTTGGTCCAAGTACGCGATTTAGTGGTTTTCGCACACGTTGTTTGGAGAGTGATGCTCCGTCGCCCTTTTCACCAATCTCCTTCAAACTTCTGCTATATACTCTTAAGACATAGGGGAAAAAATTCAACCGTCGGATTTTTCAAAAGTTGAAAGGTGTGGGCGTGGCTAAGCCTCAAACTTTGACCTGTCGCCACGCCACTCTTTTTTTCACAGCTCCCTACTGGACTCCTTTTATCCAATCACCAGGATTCTGTGGGAAACAGCAGTAGACAACTTGAGGTTACTTAGTCTCCAGGACTGGCAGGTTTTGAAAAAAGGTGGGGCTTTGGGAGCATGGCCAAAATCGCCATCACGCCATGGAAATACATTTGCCTCTCATTTCTTCAGTTATCATGATACCGCTACGAAACTTCTGGTGAGTGATCCTAGTCTGACCCCCAAGAGAAATAGATAGCTGAAGTTTGTGGGCGTGGCCTATTCTTTTAAATAGCGCCCCCTAGGACCATTTAAACTAATAGCCTCAAGCCATGCTTTGACTGAGGATTACGAAATTTGGTACACCAATGTGGTGTCTCAGGACATACAAAAAACTCTCTTGGGGCTAAGCGCAAAGTCGCACAGGAAGTCGGCCATTTTGGTCCAAGTACGCGATTTAGTGGTTTTCGCACACGTTATTTGGAGAGTGATGCTCCGTCGCCCTGTTCACCAATCTCCTTCAAACTTCTGCTATATACTCTTAAGACATAGGGGAAAAAATTCAACCGTCGGATTTTTCAAAAGTTGAAAGGTGTGGGCGTGGCTAAGCCTCAAACTTTAACCTTTCGCCACACCACTCTTTTTTTCACAGCTCCCTATTGGACTCCTTTTACCCAATCACCAGGAATCTCTGGTAAATAGCAGCAGACAAGTTGAGGTCACTTGGTCTCCAGTACTGGAAGGTTTTGAAAAAAGGCGGGGCTTTGGGAGCATGGCAAAATTCGCCATCACGCCATGGAAATACGTTTGCCTCTCATTTCTTCATTTATCGTATCACCTCGACATTTGTTGTGAGTGATCCTAGTCTGACCCCCAATAGAAATGGTCAGCTTAAGTTTTTGGGCGTGGCCTATTTTCTGAATTAGCGCCCCCTAGGACCATTAAAACTGTCAGCCCCAAGCCATGCTTTGACTGAGGATTACGAAATTCGGTACTCTAATGTTGTGTCCCAGGACCTACAAAAAAGTCTCTTGGAGCCAAGTGCAAAGTCGCACAGGAAGTCGGCCATTTTGGTCCAAGTGCGCGATTTAGTGGTTTTCGCACACGTTGTTTGGAGAGTGATGCTCCGTCGCCCTTTTCACCAATCGCCTTCAGATGTCTGCTATATACTCTTAAGACATAGGGGAAAAAATTCAACCGTCGGATTTTAAATAAGTATAAAGGTGTGGGCGTGGCTAAGCCTCAAACTTTGACCTTTCGCCATTACATTACTTGACAATAACTCCCATGTGCACGATCAGCTCTATATCAAACTTTGTCTGTGTGATCATTGACCACATCTCAAGGCAACGTCATTGTGGACAGCTGCCATCACCTAAGCCACGCCCCCTGACAACGGGAAGTCTATTGTTTTATGGTGAAATGCCCATATTTGTCCCCTCTAATTTAGTGAACATGACACTAAGGTCATACACTGTCTTAATGCTGTTGTAATTACCATTCAGACTTGATAGATTTCCAGAAAGGGAGGGGCTTTGATGCCATGGTGAATGCTGGCGTGACCCCATGACCTTACATTTGACTGTAACTTCCACAAACTGCCTCCGATTTGCCCGAAACTGAACAAGGCAATGAACAATCATGCCCTTTAGCCAGTGAGGCACAAACGGATGGTGAATGTTATATAATGTCACCAAAGCTGACCTCAATAGGACTTTTCTGTAGTTGGTCACAGCGCCCCCTAGATAACGTTATCCTTCGATAACTTTAAAAAACATGGTCATAATAGCAATAAAGTTGGTCACTGTCATCACACCACCAGTGTGGTAAAGATAGAGGATTCCCTAGTGGTGAGACATAAAATATAATGGTGGGCTCAAAGGGGATGCTGAGTCAGGGTGAGGTGCGGACGAGGTGACCGTTAGCAGTTTCTGGTGTCGGGGTGGTCGACATTTCTGTTTCGCAGACGTAGCCTCGTGCCCCGGGCTGCCAGCCAGGCCGGAGCGGCGCGGAGCTGCGAGGGCCGAACGACGCTGCTTGCAGCTTTAATTATTTTTATTATGTGTTTTTATTGACTGTGATTATCTGCTTTGTTTTATTGTTGATTGTGTTTTGTTTCTATGTTGTGTTTTACCTTTTATCTGTACAGCACTGTGGTCGGCTGCCATGCCGTTTTTAAATGTGTTTCATAAATAACGTTGGTATGGTATGGTAACCACTTTGGTGGCATGCTTGCGTCTGTAAAAGGGATATAAATAAAGTTCGAGTGGAGTTTTTTTCTAACTGACCTGTGCTGTGAGGCGTCTCTCTTCAGGCGGTGTGTGAGTGCACAAACACTGCAGCTGCTGCCGTCTGTCTCTGATCCAGGATTCTGTGTTTTTACCCTGAGCATCAAAGTCATCTGATAGACTGTGGAGCTCCGCCTGTCTGGCCGCCTGCTGAACCGTTGTCCACAGCTGTTCTGTGTGTGTTAGCAGCAGCTCCACCTCTGGTTTCCTGCTGTCCTTCAGCTGCTCACACAGACTCTTGGCCTGCAGCTTCAGATCATGCAGCTTCGACTCTCCTTCAGGTTTAGAAGTCACAACAGTCTGGAGACAAAGTGAGAAGGAAACTCAAATGTTGTCCTGCAACGGCCACCTTGGCAGTGAATAAAAAAAGGAGACAAACACAGAAAAAACTCGTCTTAAAAAATGCATAATTCCCATTTCTTCCCAGACTCACCCGCGCATTTTGAAACCTCTCCTCAAACGTCATGTGACTACCCAACAGTTTCAGCCTCTGCTCTTTTATCCAGGTCTGGAAGACTTCCACACAGGTTTTGAAAGCATTGAAGTCCCTCTGAGAGTCAGCCTCCTGCTTCGCCTGGCTCAGAGCCTCCTCAGCAGCCTGCAGAGCGTTCCTCCACTGCTCCTCTGTGTGCCTGAGAGCATCAAGAACCTCCTGCTTCCTGCTCTCAGTCAGGTGCTGGTTGTCACACAGACTCTCAGCCTGTTGCTTCAAATCCTGAAGCTTCAGCTCCTTGTTGGGCTTGGTGCTCAGGAACACCTACAAAGATCCCGGGAGGATAACTTACGTCAAAAATAATTCAATCTTTATGAAATTGTTTCAATCAGACCTTTTAGAGCTTCTCCAGATTTACCTCTGCAGTCTGCAACTTCTCTTCAACTTCCATGTGACCACCCAGAGATGTCAGGACTTCCCTCTGGTCTTTGATCCAGAACTCAAAGCTTTCGTTCTGCATTAGGAAGGCGTCGTATTGTTTGTCGAGCAGTGCTTGTGTCTGTGCCGTATGGAGGAGGTCGTCGGCAGCCTGCAGGGCGGACCTCCACTCCGTCTCTGCCTCTCTGAATAACAGCTCAGCATCTTGCTTCCTGCTCTCCTTTAGGTCCTCCTGCTCCTGAAGTCTTTCCATTTGCTCTTTCAGGTTGTTCAGTTTGGACTCTCCTTCAGGCTTAGCGGCGAGGATGGCCTGGTGAGAATGAGAACAGGCCACATGTGGTCTTTTGGGACTGTTTTCCTCTGAGGGTGGTTTTAGTTCCTGTCATGTTATTTAGCCTCAGATGTAAACTTGACTCACCAGCGCTTTACACTTCAGGTCCTTCATCTCAGAGGAAAGCAGGACGTCTGTCATCCAGGTCCTGGTGCTCTCTGCCTGGACTTTAAAGCGGATAAATTCTTCCTCCACCACTTCCTGTGCCTCAGCCTGTTTCCTCAGTCGAGTCTCCAGGTTTCGATAGCGCTGTAACAAATTGTCGCCGTCCTTCAGGATGTTTTCAGCTCTGACACCTTGTCTGCGGATTGATGCCAGGAGCTCAGCGAAGGCCTCGGCTCTGCCACTGACCCAGAAAGAACACAAAATGATAGTTTGTCACTGAGCCTTTTAATTGAAGCTCAATTTTACTGATTTGTAATACATTTGCAGTGGTCTCTAGTAGGAATGAAAGCCTTGCAAGTCGTACTCTGGGGAACAAAAATCTGATGCTCCTGTTTGAGGAAGTATAAGTCAGCTGGAACACAAAGGAGCTTCAGATTTGGAGTCTTGTTTCCTAATAGGAGGACACCTCTCCTCTGATTGGCTAACAGCAACACGACTCTACCACTGACTCTGTTTGCCCTGCAAAGTTGATGTTTTACCTCCACAAATAACTCAAGCCTGGAGGAGTTCTGCTGTGTGGTGGAGTTTCTAATGCTAACAGTTAGCTTCTACTAGCAGATACGTTCTCTGTTGTTTCCTGGACTAAACCAACAACAGCCTTCCCCGTTGTGAGCCGAGATGGGTGAGTCCATGAATGTAAGTGACTGTGACGTAGATCTGTCAGGATTTTCTAATCCTAGAGTTTCACCGTCTGTTTTCTATCAGAAGCTACTGCAGGAGATAGGTGTAGGAGACTATTTTCATGTTCAGTCTGCATGAAACACTCAGAGTGACCCGTTAGAATCAGAAATTATCATTAAAAAGTTTTCTTTGTAAGTGAAGTTGACCATTAAATAGAAACGTGAGTCTTGTTTATGTTTGACAGTTCTGTGCACCAAGCCAAACATGTCCTGTAGACCGTGATCGTAGCTTATGTGTAAACAGTAACAATCCCAGGTCCAGTGCTGGAATCACCTCTCGTCCTGAAGTTCTCTGAGCAGAACTTCGATGTTCTCTGTGTCCACAGAAAGGTTTTCTTTGTGCTGCAGCCACTCATAAAGCCTCTCATGCTGATTCTGCAGACTAAACAAAGAAACATGGTTTGAATGTAATCCCATGTCCAAATGTTTATGGGATTTGTTGATGAAACACATGGATTGGTAAATTAAAGCTGAAAAACATTTTAGGTTGAAACAACATACCTTCATTGAAAAAAGAATATTTAAATTAGTCGTAATGGATCAATGACTTTATAAATACTAGTGCAATCGACGTACTAAACAAAAGTCTTTGCCTGATTATTTTTGACCACCATGTTTGTGACGTCATTATTGTAAACCTTGGTACCTGTCCAGGTCACTGAGGAGTGACTCCATCTGTGTTTGCCGGTTGTGGCAGTGGGCTTTAAACGTTCCCACTTCCTCCTGCTGCTCCTTCAGCCAGTCGGTGAGCTCAGAGAGCTGCTCAGGAGGAACCTGCTGCTGGCCTCGGTCCAGCTGGTCCTGCAACTGGCCCAAACGTCTCTCTGTGTCTTCAGACTTCAGAAAACTCTGATGGATAGGAACCATGAGAGCACATCTGCTAAGCATGACTTAACAGCACATCATCTCTACAGATTTTGTCATCTTACAATCAGTTTTTGTACAGAGGTTTCCACATCTGTTTGGCTCTCGGGGCTCTCAAAGCACTCGTTGACAGACAGCTGTAAATTCTGAAACCATTCCTCAAATAATTCTCTTCCCTCTGAAGGAAAACAAACAGAATTTTAATGAATGAAAACAGGATTAAGTGCAGCATCAGTCAAAATTAAAATTAAGACCGTGCGTTTGCCATGTCTCTGGTGGAAAAAAGCTCCAGCGCCCCTTACCGAGGACGTACAAGTCAGCTAGAAGACGGCAGGATTTGGAGTCTTATTTCTTGGTTTTTGGACATCTCGTCTCTAATTAGTTAACAGCAGAATGTCTCTGCTTGCTTTGCAAGGTCTGTTGTGTGGTGCAGTTGCTAATGCTAACAGTTAGCTTCTACCGTTTCCTGGATGCTAAACAAAAAACAGCCTTCACTGTCAAGGGTCAAGATATAATGGTAAATGGCCTGTACTGTATTTGATACAGCACCTTCTAGAGTCCATCCATCCATCCATCCACCCATCCATCCACCCATCCATCCATCAATCCATCCATCCATCCATCCATCCATCCATTAATCCATCCATCCATCCATCCATCCATCCATCCATCCATCCATCCATCCATCCATCCATCCATCCATCCATTAATCCATCCATCCATCCATCCATTTTCATCCGCTTATCCGGAGTCGGGTCACGGGGGCAGTAGCCTAAGTCGAGAGGCCCAGACTTCCCTCTCCCTCTCCTCTCTAAAAATGGACAGTGTGTGTTTTTCCTGATTGCTTTATAAAAGAAATAGGTTCTAGATGTTTGGATTAAAGTGGACATTTTTCATTTAGAATTCTTTAACTTCACTACTAACCATTAATAGCGCTGAGCATGCCTTTGCTGTGCTCCTCTCTCCTAAGATGCATCATGTCTTTAGTACTCGAGATGGCCCCTTGAAGCTTGTTGAAGTCAGAAAACAGATCCTTCAGAATGGGCAAACGGGCCACAACGTTAACCATTTGCAGCTTCATTAACAAGTCTTCAGCCTGTTCTTCTGAAGACTTCAGGTCCGAACAAAGATCCTGGTGTGGACAACAGCAAAGCCAAATTAGTAAAATCATTTACTAATCAGACTCTACCTTACCCATCAGCATACCTCAATCTGGTCTTCTGCTTTTGGTGCTGAAAAATCAATTTTACTGAGACCACACTGGATGTCTTCTACCGATGTGCGACACTTTTTTATTTCCTCATTGAACTGCTTTTTTACAGTCATCAGATCTTCAAAGACGTCTTTGAAGTCAAGGAACAACTCATTCACCTCCTCCATTCTTTTCCTCAACTGGGTCTCCATCACCTAGAAGGCAGAGGGCAATACATTTGAGAAAAGCAGCAGAACGTTTCTTAACCTTTAAGATTGAAGCCCTAGCTTTCCTCCCAGGAAAACAGACCACTCTCCACCCTTTATGCCAGAGTTAAACTGAGACCCGGGTCACATGGCAGACTTTTTAAATGGTTGGAAGACTTTCAAACAGGAGAGACCCCACACATGGCACTAAAGTCACACATTTGTCAGGGGTGTGCTGTGTGCAGCCCCACATTAAAGTCAGAGTAAACCAACATGGCAGACCAGAAAGGGCCATGACACTAGTTTTTTTTTTTTTGGACAGTCGTTATGGTAACTGAAGGTGTCTTTAAAGGCCTTTCAACTAGCGCCCACCATGCACTTCGACTCTGCTTGGCTCAGCTCAGCTCTACACGGCTCCACTGGTTTTCCATTACAACTGAGAAACAGCTCTAGTGGGTTGGGTCATTTTCAAAAGTGGAGCAAAGTGATCTTTACGCAACACAACGTAAGTGGAGGATGTCATGCAACCTCCCTCTCAGCCGTCAACCTCCTCTAGGGAGGCAACGCAGAGCCGCTCAGACTCCATTACCCAACATCCCCAGTGCCAGGCTTCCGGTTCACGTCACCCGCCAAATCTATTTAAGGAAGTGCCGCACAACGCCGACTCACTCAGTCATCGTTCGAACCGAACCTAACCTAGAGTCCAAACCAGATTGTCTCAGATCACGAAGCCTGTTCAGATCAGACCAGCCAGATCAGACCAGCCAGATCTAAGAATCCTGCCTGTTCTTAGAGACCAGCCTCAGACCAGGAGTCACCGTGTTCAGCTGTGTCACCATACAGCTGCGCACCCGGCTCCCAGATTAAACAGTGTGTCCATTCAACCCGGCGTCAGTCACTCCGTTCTTGGGTTAAAAGCCACGCCACATCCAAACTCTCGCCCAGCTCGAGTCACCCCGTTACAGTATGACTGAGTCCACTGTTAACCCAGCTGAGTTTGATAACCTGCGAGCTCAGGTTAACCTGATGGAAGTCATGGTGGAACGCCTAGCTGCCAAGGTGGGTTCCATTGCCACTGTGGTTCTCCAACTCTCTGCTGCGCAGCAGCAGCAGACCTCCAGAGACCGAGACCAACCCATATTCAGCCTCCCGGTGAAATGGGACGGAACGCATGGCTCACCTGAAGGACTATTAGCCACGTTAGCCATGACATTTGAATGTCAGCCACACCGATATGCCACACCCCGCTCCCGGGTGGCGATGCTGGTCTCCCTCCTCACCGGCCGAGCTCAGGAGTGGGCAGCAGCCATGTATAATAAGAAATCGGAAGTCTGCAATGACTATGATATGTTCATGAGCGAACTCAGGAGGGTTTTCGTCCCCCCCCCCCCCCCCCCCCCCCAGCGGCGAGACGTCAACGGAGACTCAACTCCTCCAGCTCCGGCAAGGAAACCAGACGGTAGCGCAGTACATGTCTCGGTTCCGGACCAAGGCGGCCAAGCTGAGATGGGGAGATGACGCCCTAAAAGCGATCTACCTGGAGGGGCTCTCCTCCCGCATCAGAGACGGGATGATCGGACGGGAGACCCCTGGGACCCTGGACGAGGCGGCCGACCTCGCTCTCCTAATGGATTTACGCCTCTTTACGCACCGACCTGCTGAGCCTGCGGCAGCGGCAACCAACGATCGGTCCCGCTCAGCCAGCCCACTCACTGATGAGCCCATGCAGCTGGGACACCTAAACCCAGAAGAGAGGGAGAGGCGCTATAAGGAGGGGCTGTGCGCCTATTGCGGCGCACCGGGCCATATGCGCTTTTCCTGTCCTTCCCGGCCGGGAAACGCAGACTCCAAGTAGGCAGCAGCAGAGGGGTCCTACTTGGGTCGACCGGAACCCCCTCGACCCGCACCATGCTCCCAGTAACCCTTCATCTCGCCCAGGGGCCCGTTGAGCTGGAGGCGCTTTTGGATTCTGGAGCGGCGGACTGTTTCATGGATAAGGATCTGGCGACCCGCCTACACATTCCCCTGTCCGCTCTCCACCAAACCATTCCCGTTACCTCCATGGATGGTACTCCTCTCCAGCCCTATCCCATCCACCAGGAGACGGTGGACCTCCGTATGGATGAACCTCCCCATTCAGAGACTCTCCGGTTCCTGATTATCACCGCCCCTTTGTCCCCACTGATCCTAGGTCACTCCTGGTTCTTACGTCATAACCCCCAGATCTCCTGGTCGTCTGGGCGGGTGCTCACCTGGGGAGCGGCTTGTCATTCCCATGTACCTCCCCAACCTGACTCTGAGCCTGAACCCCCAGATGTCGATGTCTCTCAGATCCCCTCCTGCTACCATGACCTGGCCCGGGTCTTTTCAAAGACACCTACCACCACCCTGCCTCCTCATCAACCTTATGACCTGGAGATTAAGCTCCAGCCTGGCACAGTTCCACCCCGGGGCCGTTTGTACTCTTTATTGACGGCTGAGACCCAGGCCATGGAGGCTTACATAACGGAGGCTCTCCAACAGGGGTTTATCCGACCCTTCACCTCGCCCGGAGCTGCGGGGTTCTTCTTCGTAAAAAAGAAGGAGGGGGGCCTTCGACCCTGCATCGACTATCGGGGTCTGAACAAGATCACGGCCCGCGACCGTCACCCCTTGCCCTTGATGTCCACCGCCCTGGACGTAGTGTCCCAATCCACCATATTCACCAAGTTGGACCTGCGCAGCGCCTACAACTTGGTCAGGATAAAACAAGGCGAGGAGTGGAAAACCGCCTTCATCACCCCGACAGGTCACTGGGAGTACCTGGTCATGCCCTTTGGCTTGTGTAACAGCCCTGCGGTTTTCCAACGGCTAATCACGGATGTCCTGAGGGATATGTTGGGTCGGTGGGTGTTTGTTTACCTTGACGACATCCTGATCTACTCCCGAACCCTGGACGAGCACATCACACACGTGTGAGCCGTTCTTTCCCGGCTGCTGGAGAACGGACTTTACTGTGAATTGGAGAAATGCGCCTTCCATCAGGAGACCATCTCCTTCCTGGGATTCGTGTTGTCATCAAAAGGATTTTCAATGGACCCCCAGAAGGTCCAGGCTGTTGCCCACTGGCCGCAACCCACTTCCCTAAAACAGCTCCAGAGCTTCCTTGGATTCACGAACTTTTACCGCCGCTTTATCCGCGGTTTCAGTTCCATTGCCGCTCCACTCACTGCCCTAATCAAGTCATCCAACCAGACCCACCCTTTCCGTTTCACTCCTGAGGCCATGCAGGCTTTCCGAACCCTGGTGCATCATTTCACGACCGCTTCCCTCCTCGTTCATCCGGACACAACAAAACCTTTCATCGTGGAAGTGGATGCGTCCAAGGTGGGTGCAGGGGCGGTCCTATCTCAACGCGGTCCGGACTCCAAACTCCACCCCTGTGCCTATTTCTCCCGGAAATTCACACCGACCCCCGATATTACGGGGTTGGGGACAGGGAGCTCCTGGCTATTAAATGGGCGCTGGAGGAGTGGAGGCAGTGGCTATTGGGTGCCCAGGACCCATTAACCATCTGAACAGACCACCAAAACCTAATTCATATCCAGAATGCTCGCCAACTCAACTCCCGTCAAGCCCGGTGGGCTCTGTTCTTCGAATCTTACCACTTTCATCTGGCCTATCGCCCTGGTTCTAAGAATCTAAAGGCAGACGCCCTTTCCCGCCGTCACGCCCAAGCTGCACCCGTCAAGGAACCACCGCCCATTTTACCTGCCCAGAGGTTCGTTGCAGCCCTTCACTGGCCAGTGGAGGACGCCATCCGAGCGGCTCTGCCCACCGAGCCCGCACCTGCTGACACACCCTCCAACTGACTGTATGTACCATCCACCTGCCGGTCTGAGGCCCTAGCATGGGGACATGCTTCCCGTTTGGCTGGTCACCAGGGGGAGACCCGCACCCTCCAGTTCCTACGACGGGCCCTGTGGTGGCCCTCCATGGCCAAGGATGTCCATGAATACGTGGCTGCATGTTCCACCTGCGACCGTTCCAAGACTCCGAACAAACCCCCGGCGGGCGACCTCCACCCTCTTTCTGTCCCACACAGACCCTGGTCCCACATAGGCCTGGACTTCGTTACGGGGTTGCCTCCCGTCAACCAGATTGACACTGTCCTGACCATCGTGGACAGGTTTTCCAAGGCGGTCCACCTGGTGGCTCTTTCCGGCCTGCCCACTGCCAAGCAGAAGGCCGAAGTCCTTCTGGAGCAGGTGGTCCGTCTCCATGGGTTCCCTCAGGACATTGTCTCGGATAGAGGGCCCCAATTCATGTCCAGATTCTGGAAAGCCTTCTGCCGGCAGGTCGGTGCCAGTAGCAGCCTCTCGTCTGGCTACCATCCCCAGACCAATGGAAAGACCGAACGCGCCAACCAGCAGCTCGGGCAGTACCTACGCTGCTTCGCCTCTTCCCAACCAACCACATGGCCAAAGCATCTCTTGTGGGCGGAGATGCCCCATAACCTCCACGTCTCCTCGGCTACTGGTCTTTCCCCGTTCGAGCTGTGTAATGGTTACCAGCCCCCTCTGTTCCCTCACCAGGAACTGGAGACGGAGGTTCCTGCGGCCCAGCTCCTAGTTCGACGTTGCCGCCTCGCTTGGATCCGTGCTCGGGCTGCCATCAAACGAGCTAACACGGAGTACTCACGCCAGCATAAGCGCCGCCACCGGCCTGGTCCGACCTTTCAGCCGGGCAATAACGTGTGGGTGTCTACTCGAAACATGCGTCTGCCCGCTGGCTCCAAGAAACTCAGCCCACGGTTTCTGGGTCCGTACCCTGTGGAGAAGGTCATTAACCCCGTGGCTTACCGCCTCCGCCTGCCCAAGTCTCTCAAGGTTCACACCGTCTTCCACGTTTCCCAGCTGAGACCGGTTAGGACCTCTCCTCTTGCTTCCCCCCCCCCCCCCCCCCCCCCGAGCCCGCTCCACCGCCTCGTGGGGTGAGCGGTGATGGTGTTTACGTTGTGCAGCGCCTGCTAGATGCTCGTCGCCGTGGCAGAGGATGGCAATACCTGGTGGACTGGGCGGATTACGGACCGGAGGAACGCTCATGGGAACCATCGAGGGTCATCTTGGACCCCTCTCTCATAACGGACTTCTGGGCTCGCCGCTCTGGGACTTCTGGGGCCGTCCCTCGGGTGGGAGGTCCTGTCACGCAACCTCCCTCTCAGCCGTCAACCTCCTCTAGGGAGGCACCACAGAGCTTCTCAGACTCCATTACCCAACATCCCCAGGGCCAGGCTTCCAGCTCACGTCTTTCGCCAAATCTATTTAAGGAAGTGCCGCACAACGCCGACTCACTCAGTCATTGTTCGAACTGAACCTAACCTAGAGTCCAAACCAGATTGTCTCAGATCACGAAGCCTGTTCAGATCAGACCAGCCAGATCTAACAATCCTGCCTGTTCTTAGAGACCAGCCTCAGACCAGGAGTCGCCGTGTTCAGCTGTGTCACCATACAGCTGCGTACCCGGCTCCCAGATTAAACAGCGTGTCCATTCAACCCGGCGTCAGTCACTCCACGCTTGGGTTAAAAGCCACGCCACATCCAAACTCTCGCCCAGCTCGAGTCACCCCATTACAGAGGACACCGTGGCTATTTTAAACCGGCAGCTTTAGTCTGTGTAATCCTATCAGGCTCCAAAAAGAAGAGACATGGAACAGACTGCATAGAGCCAGAAGAATAGGTGGGGGACTCCGCCTCTTTACCAGTCAGTGACAAATCATCTGGTGTTGGGTTTTAATCTTGGTTCTGTATGCTTGGAACCAAATAGAAGAAGGTACTAAAAGGGGAAGCAACCTGGTACCCGTTATATATGGAAAAGCCTTAGAAGCGTGCAGATCTGTGTTGTGAAGATGCTGGCGGAAAAGTGTCATTAGACTGTCAGAAGGGGAGAATTGCATCGTGTGAACCAAGTCTAAGGCTTAGTTGAGCCATGTTAGTAAATTTTTGCAAAATAAAAATACTTGAAAATTGCCAAGATTTGTTAGCACAAGATGTAGCTCCACATCTGTACACTTGGGTTATTGCTGTTATGGTGTTTGCTGATGCTGATTAGCTGTGGCAGCCATGTTGAATGGGGCTGACTCGCGTCATCACGCTTACCTGCAGCTCCAAAGGAGGATCTTGACTCTGCAGCATCTCCTGAATCTCTTCAGACTTCTTGTGAAAATGTGCAACATTCTCCTCATTGGAGCGGATCTCATCCTGCAAACCAGGAGCGTCGCTCATGTGATTGTTGATCTCCAAAGATGGAACCACGTCTGCTAATTTGAAGATAATATTTTAAACACGTATGCCTCACCATCATGGCTAGCACTTGTTGTTCATCGAGGAAGGGATGGCCCTCTGCAAACATGCTGAGTGTAGCTGCAGCCCAGCTGTCCACCTCTTGTCCCAACATCAGCTGCTTCTCCCACAGCTCCAGCCCCACTCGAAGGTTATCCAAGTAGGCATCGATCTTCTCTGTAACCTGCAGAGTACCACAAACAGGACACATACACTGAGGCCAGGATCCATCATCTAACAGCGTGTCTGTTTTAAGTCAAATAAAAGTCTAATTCACATCTGCTCCTCCTTTGGCGCAGGTGATCAAATTTAAAATAAAGGACAAATGATTTGATTCATTTTCAAATTAAGTGAAAAAAATGTGAATGAGATTCCTCCGGAGAGGAGAGGCGGATGAAATTGTATTTTGTGGAACTTTTACTTTATCAATGCAGGTCATGTAGGTATTTAAAAACAAATTTTTTTTCCTTGAGGCATTCTATGATCGGCTCTATTTCTGCTGTTAGATATCTTCGCCACTCTTTTGTTGTGAATGGCGGTGCTGGTGATAAATTCAAAGGATTTGGCCTCTTGACCAATCACAGGCATGCCCACACGGCAGCTCTGATTTAATAAAAATGGGGCATGTCTCTGTCACCCTCAGCAGGCCTGCTGCAGAATGCTTGTTTTCATCACCGAGCTGATGGAGAAGTACAAACAATAGACTGGGTTGTGCCTAACCCTAAAACTTAAGCTTGGTTTATGCTTGACACGTCGGCGAGGTCAGCACAGCTCCGAGTGGCCAAATACATAATTTCAGCAACCACGCCCCTCCGCGTGGCCCAAAGATTCTGCACTACACACTGGAAATTGTCTAACTATGCATACAGTCCTGCACATAAAAACATGGCAGACTGGCAAGTTGGCATAGTGGCGGAGGTTTGTAAGCACAGACATCAACCTGAACCTTAAAGTTAGAATATGGAACATTTTAATAAAATTTATATTTCGATAATAATAATACCTCCACGGGGCGTTTAGAGGTGTGCAAGAGAAATGTACAGTTTCTCCTTTAAAAGCTATATTTAAAAATAGAAATGATCAACATTTTTATTTGTCAGGCATGACACTGGGTTTATGTTTACATCTACCAGCCATTAATAATAATAATAATAATACATTTTATTTCAAAGCGCCTTTCAGGACACCCAAGGTCACTTTACAGAAAACACGTAATAAAATACAATAAAACAACAATAAAACCCAAACAAGAAAAAACAAAGAGAGAAACAGTTCAATAAAATCAGAGGTTGTAGGCAGATTTAAACATGTGTGTTTTGAGTTTTGATTTGAAAAGGGTAAAATTGTCGATGTTCCTGATGTCTGGGGGGAGTGAGTTCCAGAGACGGGGAGCAGAGCGGCTGAAAGCTCTGCTCCCCATGGTAGTGAGACGGGCAGAAGGAACCGCAAGATGGATGGAAGAAGATGATCTGAGTGAACGGGATGGGGTGTGAATACTTATAAGGTCTGAGATATATGGAGGAGAGAGGTTGCGGATTGCTTTGAAGGTATGGAGGAGAATTTTGAAGATGGACCTGAATTTAACTGGGAGCCAGTGAAGCCGCTGGAGAACCGGGGTGAAAGGAAGGGGTTCTGGTGATAATACGGGCTGCTGAATTCTGGACCAGTTGCAGTTTATGAAGGAGTTTGTTGGGGAGACCATAAAGAAGTGAATTGCAATAGTCGAGACCGGAGGTGACAAGGCTGTGGACGAGAATGGCGGCAGTGTGAGGGGTCAGTGAGGGACGGAGACCGTTAATGGAACGTAGATGGAAGTATGCTGACCGAATTAAGTTATTAATGTGAGCTTGAAAAGAAAGTGAGCTGTCAAGAATGACACCCAGACTCTTGACGTGAGGGGAGGGGGAGACTATGGTGCTGTCAATAGTTAAAGAAAAGCTGTCAGATGTTGAGAGGGTGGAGTGTTTAGAGGGCACCATTTGCACTAAAAATTTCGCTCAGCAAGGCGAGACTGGGACTGTGTAAAATGGTGGACCTGACAAGTCAAGCAGCTGATTCTGAGCCCAGAAGATGTTCTAAAAGTAAATACTGTCAAACTTAGTAGTAGAAATGAGTCCTTACCCTGTACAACTTGTCTCTGGACATGGTGCTGGAACGCGTCAGCAGTAAACCAACCTTCCATTGGTTGGAAACTTTGTGCTGTTGTTGCAATACCACCTCTGAACACCAGAGTTCGCCTGAGTGTTCGTGTTCCATATTCAACCCTTAACTAAAACTTAATTAAGTAAGTAGAGCTCTGTAGCATAGCAGCAAAGTGAGGACTAGCAAAATGTCCTCGCTTTGCTGCTAATGACCTCAGTTTGCAGGTAAAAAGCTTGTCATTGGTCCTCATTTTGATGTATAGAAGTGTAGACACACACACACACACACACACGCACACGCGCACACGCACGCACACACACACACACACACACACACACACACACACACACACACACACACACACACACGCACGCGCACGCACACACACACACACACACACGCACACGCACGCACGCACACACACACACACACACACACACACACACACACAATTAACCAAAGTTCTAGACACATTCTCCTTTAGTGCGTCCACCACCCGTGTAATTGAGTTGGTGCCTACGTCCAGCCAGTTGTCCATCAGCGAGTCTGCTTCAGCTTCAAATGGAGTCTCGTTGCAGTCTCGAAACTTCTTCAGTTCAGACTGGAGTTGCTTGCAAACGTTTCTCATCTCGCCCATCTCCTTACCAAGACCAGCCAGTTTGTTTTTAATGTCGCAAACCTGAAGAACCAAACAAGAGTTAAACAACATGTAACTGCAGTGTGGGATGGAGCAAAGTCCTGTAAATGGAAGATGAAACAACATGAATGGATTCACCTTTGTTACGCTCCTGTGCAAGTTCTCCTTGCCCATATAAGAAGCCCTTTCACCGATGGTCTGCTCAGCTTTCTGGATGCTGTTGCTCACGAGACTGCGACATGTCTGGAACTTCTTCAGAAGCTCCAGAAGAACACCGCACTGCTTCTTTCTGCAGAAGACAAAGACACCAGCTCACCTCCTTTTCTGCATCGCTCAAGGTTTGACAGAAAGGCTGAAGGAAGTTTGTACCATGACAGAGCAGAAATGATCTGGAATACTCTTCCACTGTTTGATGTTCCATCCCATAAACCTCCAGACACACAGAAACATCAACGTTGCCTCTGGGTGTTTCCTGTGTCACCCTAACTTTCATTTATGCACGGGCAGAAGGTACATTTGTGAGTGTAACTGTTCTGTAGAGATTGGCATTTATGGATTTTGTGATAGTTGAGGAAACATTCCCATCCCTTTAATCTGATTTTTCCACACGTTTGTCGAACACCTTTACCCCTCAGCCTCTCACGGATCTGCCTTTGTTTAACACCGTGTCCTTTTCATTGCACCTTATTTCTGCTGGTAAACGTTTACATTAGCTTTTTCTTAACTTGAACCGTTATTGTTAAATATCATGTTTTGGTTCTTTTTTAAACACAGAAAAACACGGAAAAAAAAAGAACGAAAGCATGGATTTAGAAAGACACAGCAAGAACACACCTAAGATCATGTTTTGTCTCATAGACACAGCCGGATGTAGCTGGATGTGGTCCTACCTGCTAGAGAAAGCTCTGTGAGTCTCCTTCCACTGAGCATCCAGCTCCTGGAGCAGGTTTTCATCTTTTCCTTGTTTCTCCTGCAGATCGTGAAGATTCTGAAGCTCAGACTGTTGAGCCTGCAGCTGGCCATCCAAATCCGAAACAGCACGAAGCCTGAAAATGACAAGATTATTTAAAGTTCCTCTGAGGAATGAAGCAACAATGGAACAACCCGTCACATACATGTGCTGCACAGCAGGCATGGTGGGCTCTCTCAGACTCTGTTCTTCAATCATATCTTGCAGCTTTTTCAGCTCCCCAAACACTGCCCTCCTCCTCAAGCCAAAGGATTTGCTTTGCGTCTCTCTCTGAAGGCCTCTCTGCTGGCTGGCCAGACCACCATCAGCATCCTCCAACCTCCTGAGCAAGACAGTCACCATGTCCAGGCAGGAGGCCGGAGCACCATTTCTGCTGATCGTCAGCCTGGCTCCCTGCAGGAGCAGATCCAGCTGAGGGGCCTTTTCCTTCAGACTGTCGATGCTCTGTCTAATCAGAGCCAGTTTGGAGCGAAAGTCCTGCAGTACCACAGAGTCACTGCAGGGAGAAGCTTGGACTCCAGATATGTCTTCATCCACAGTGCGTAGGGACATGAGGAAGCGGTCAAGAGCGCGAGCAGCTGCTTCACTCTTCTGGACCTGCTGTTGGAGCTGATCCAGGCTGGCTTTGTGGGCCTCTACCTCACAAGTCAGAGGGAAGCATTCTCTGGGGTCAAGACTGCTGGATTCAGGGTCCAATCGGCACAGCTGGTCCAACTCACTTTGAATGTTGTCGTCCAGTTCCTTCAGCAAAAAGAAAGTCTAAGTTTACAGTGATTAAAAGCGTGATCTTGCAAGGGAGGGCCTCGGTTCACTTTTTAAACATTTCTGTTGCCTAACTGGACCCGCGAGGCTAAATCCAAACAAGCAGAAGTGTCATCATGCAACAGAACCAACGTTTACTAATAAAAGGATATTTTATAGTGTTTGTTGAAGAAGAATCAAAAACAAGATACATGTTAATGTGACCATCTGTAGATGACAACATGGTAGATCCACTCTTTCACCGATACCTTTATGTTTTTACAGTGTACGCAGTTGGGATTGTGTGCATCTCTGTCATAGAAAACAATGAAGAATGTCTGATTTCAGACCTTGATGTCTTTCAGGATGTTGGTACTGGCCAGTGTGAAGCCAGTGATGTCTTTGGGCTGTCTGAGGTACCGGTCCAGGCGGTCGGTGAAGTCCACCATGTGGTTTTCTGTGGAGTCTATCTGTCTGAGGGCAGCACCGAGGGAGCTGCCTCGCCTCTGAAGGTGTTTCTGTTGGCTGCGCCACAGCTCCAGCAGCTCTGCTTTTTCCTGCTCCAAAGAAGGGTCCCGGCTCAACTGGGAACACTGGGAACAGTGGCCCGAATACTCAGACCACAGTGATTCTGTTTCCTGCCTCAAGAACTGCAAAACAAAACCATTTAAGTTTAGAAAAGGTTGAGATCTGTTACCGTGTTAAAGGAATAAATGTGCACCTGTATTTCCTGGAGTCGTGTATGCAGGCCCTTCAGGGACAACGAGTCAGCGGGAGGCTCCTTCAAGCTCTGCTCGTTTTTGGCCAAGTGGGCTTGCAGAGTTCTTTTGGTATTTTCATATCTGGGAATTTCACAGAGCAGCATGACAATGACTAAAAGTAAATGGAGAATATACTGTAATAATCTCTCTCTCTCTTAAACACTGGTTAATATATCTCCTAAACTTTTAAAAGCGTTGCCGTATGTTTACCGTTCCAGAGCTTCCTTCTTGGTAATTTCTTCTGTTGATGTCTGCTTTTCCATCTCTCTCTTCTCCTGAGACGTTGCCTGCACAACCTGAAAAACAAAGGTGTTGTCTGGATAAAAAGGAGAGCTAGACTCATGAAGGGACTGGGCATCTTCAGAACGTTGAAGTTTAGGGAGTCTAAATCACGGAGCGCTGGCAAAAAGATCATCATCATCATCATCATCATCATCATCATCATCATCATCATCATCATCATCATCATCATCATGTATTTATTTCCAACATGCCAAGAACATCACAATTAACAACAGGATATCAATCAATAATTAATCAAGTTGACTTTGTTGTTGGCATGTTCGAAAGAGAGTGGGCAGAAGCCAAGCCCCCTCTGACTTACAGGAAACCCCCAACATCTCACAATTCACTCCATCCACATTGATGACAAGTGACACCCCCCACAGACAATAGCCCAGACTCCCCTGATGCCGAACCTGACAGAATACTGCTGGGACCTCTCCTACAGGAGGAGGGTGGTAAGGCCACAGTAAAGGTCATTGTGCAACAGGTGCGTTACTGCGACGCATTGGTAGACACTGGTTCAGATATTACAATCATGAGCAAGCCTCTTTATGACCACGTCTGCTTGGATGTAAGGGGGGGCCTCCAGAACTGATTCCATGTGCATTAACTGTCAGTGTTTTCTCTGATTCTCCAGTGCTCTTGTCTTCTAAGACTATGCTCCAGGTCACGATAGGGCCCATGAGCTTGACACATCCCACCTACATCTCCATCTCCTTTCATTACAATTGAGAATTTGCCTTCAGTATAGATGCTGTTGTTGAAATGTTCTTGTGAGTAATACGCACAACTTTTCTTGATAGAGACAAGAAAATAATTATCTGGGTCTATGTCATTTTCTGAATAGCTTGTATTGAATTCTGTGTACTCAGAAACCTTCTAAGTTAGAGAAGGAATGGAAGCATAAGTTCATTGATCTCAGTACTCCTGGAGTCCGTATGCTTGAGGCATCATGCATGAACAGACACGTAGGCCGATATTAAGCTATAAGGCTAGTTCCACATCATCAATACTTATCACGTTCTTGTATGTGTCTCACCACCACTACTTTTGCTTCTTCAGGACTTCCATTGAGTTTAATAAAGATTTTACAATTTGTCACCCAGGTATGTTGGATCCTCTGCTGTTTTTTCAGCTTTCCTGGCGATGTCAGCATTTTTCTTTGTTAAGTGATCATTTATGAAGACATTTGTTCCTTTCAGTTTACGTCCCTGTTTTAAGAGTGCCGTCTTGTTTTTCTGTTCTCTAACCTCGTTATGATGGCAGGATGTTCACTGTTCCTCCTGGGTAGCGGGTGACACGTCTCGATGTGATCCAGGTCCAACTTGATCCCTTTACTATGAAGGAAGGAGGCCACCTGTTGCTCCACTGATCTCTCCTCCTCCTCCCCGAGCTCCATATTGTTTGGAGCTACAGTGCGAGCATAACTGTGCGGTTTTAGTGGAAGCCCCATAATGACCACTTCATTCATTTTAGAATACTGCTCCAGTTCGTCCACCCGCTGCTCCAGAGCCAGGATGCGTTTGTCTTTTTCCACATTCTGAAGGTGCAACAGTTTCACCTCCTCCAGAAGATCTAGGATCTGCTTCTGTTGCGCTCTAACAGCAGTCACCTCCTTGGACGCAAATTTGAGAGACCTTTTAATGTCCTCGATCTCCTCTGTCGACGGAACCTTTTTCGGAGCCATTCCGCGCTGGTTAATTAGAACTTGCCAGTAGATCTGTCAGCTGGTCCTGGTGACTGGTGTCAGAGAATGTGTCTTTGTCTTTTTCTTATCTCCCTCGCTGAATCTCCTCCCTCCTCTGTCACAAGCGGATGCAGTAGCGGGTTCGGCGTTGGGCCGAGCAGGTGGAACTGTGCCGGGTTCGGCGTTGGGCCGGGTCGGTGAAAACGCTCCGGGTTCAGCTTTGGGCCGAGCTGGTGTAGCCACGCCGGGTTCGGCATTGGGCCGAGCCGGTGAAACCACGCTGGTTTTGGCGTTGGGCCGGGCTGGTGTAGCCACGTCGGGTTCGCTTTGGGCCGAGCCGGTGGAACCACGCTGGTTTCTGCATTGAGCCGGGTCGGTGAAACCGCGCCGGGTTCGTCTTTGGGCCGGGTCGGTGTAGCCATGTCGGGTTCGCTTTGGGCCGAGCCGGTGAAACCATGCTGGTTTTGGCATTGGGCCGGGTCGGTGAAACCACGCCGGGTTCGGCATTGGGCCGAGCCGGTGAAACCACGCTGGTTTTGGCATTGGGCCGGGTCGGTGAAACCGCGCCGGGTTCGGCTTTGGGCTGGGCTGGTGTAGCCATGTCGGGTTCGCTTTGGGCCGAGCCGGTGGAACCACGCTGGTTTCGGCATTGAGCCGGGTCGGTGAAACCGCGCCGGGTTCGGCATTGAGCCGGGTCGGTGAAACCACGCCGGGTTCGGCTTTGGGCCGAGCCGGTGGAACCACGCTGGTTTCGGCATTGAGCCGGGTCGGTGAAACCACGCCGGGTTCGGCATTGGGCCGAGCCGGTGGAACCACGCTGGTTTCGGCATTGGGCTGGGTCGGTGAAACCGCGCTGGGTTCGGCATTGAGCCGGGTCGGTGAAACCGCGCCGGGTTCGCTTTGGGCCGAGCCGGTGGAACCACGCTGGTTTCGGCATTGAGCCGGGTCGGTGAAACCGCGCCGGGTTCGGCATTGAGTCGGGCTGGTGAAACCGCGCCGGGTTCGGCTTTGGGCCGAGCCGGTGGAACCACGCTGGTTTCGGCATTGGGCTGGGTCGGTGAAACCGCGCTGGGTTCGGCTTTGGGCCGGGATGGTGGAACTGCACCGGGTTCATCCTGTCTTCATCCTGCAGTCTGCTCACATTTAAATGAAGCGCTATGCTGTATTTAGAGGAATTCTCTTAACTCAGACCTGAAACACTTGATTTTCATTAATGATTATTTTTATTTAAAATTTAAGTGTGATTCTTCCTGGTGATATTTGCACGTTTAAGCTGGAAATCCATCTGTGAGCCCCTGTCTAACATTTGAAATGACTTTGTTTTTCATCCGTTCAGACATGCAGCTCACTCTGTCATTCCCATCTCCATTTTTAGTTTTTGCAGCACAGTTGAACGTTAGCAAGTGCTTAATTCAACCTGCTTCACTTCATGTGCATCTGTGGTGGAGAAGGAGTGGGTAGTGGGAGGAATAAAGAACACAACTTGGCCTGGTGCTGCACAGTGATAGTGAGAACATTTTGGTGAGCTCGGGGTCCTACCTCTGGTAAAGGCTGCAGTTTGTCACTCGCTTTTTTTGTTCCTTTTTGTGTGATCAGCTCTTCGCTTTGTAAAAGATAAATCCTGCAAAACAGAATAAAATCAGCATTTCTGTGTTTCACTTTTTCTGCAAAAAATGTTCCAAAATATACAAGATGAGAAAATACGAATGATATAGATGGAGGATTATAAGTATCAGAATTAGAATGAAAAACTTTTCAAACGAGAGAGGTTTTGCTTTCTGAAATCCTGCGTCAGTCTAAAAACACCTCACCTGGACTCAGGAAGTGATGCATCTTGGTCTCCACTGAACTGATGCTGGATGGCAGCCAGCCTCTTCTCACACTCCATGAGCTGAGTCTGGGCCAGACGGTGAGCGTCCTCGGGGATCAGGGTATCACACAGCTTTTTCATGGCCTCAAGGTGCTGCTCTGCCTCAGCAAAGTCTGCTGAGAAGCAGGCCTGAGGAATGTTGACAAGGTAAAACATGTAAGAGAGAACGTGCTGTAACGGCGTATGAAGCTGGATGATTGATACACCATATCCTCCACTGTCCAGTTTTGTGTTCAAACAAAAATGTCCGACCAACACTCCAGTTAAGAGGATGGCAAACCTGTCAAAGTCTCACAGCAAACAAATACACCGCAAATAAAAATGCAGGTTTTTTAATAACAATCATGCTTTTGTCCATACTCAAACATCGAATATTCATTTTGCCTTCATCAACATTTACAGTAATCCTCATTTTACTTTTCCTGAATGACTTTGTAGAAGGTTTATATACTTAGCACACCATCTAAGGACGTTTGTGTTTGGTTGGTTATTCCTTTGTTTCTTGGTAACACATCTAACTAATCAAAGTTATCTTTAAAAAGCCTGATGAGTCACCTTTCAAGCCACAAAGCTAAATGTGTAGGTCACAGTCTCCCAAAATGTGCCAAAAACATCCTTCAGTGTTCTGACATTTACAATTTATGGAATGTTTGCAATTTCTTACTGTAATCAGGGAAATGAAAAGCTATTGTCCAGTTTTAAACATCCTCACAAGTGTGCAACAGATCTTTGGGGAGCCTAAGCCTCCTCCCCTTCCAGTCAGCTCATGGGTCCCCTGAGCGAAAAAAGAAAGAAGACTAGAAGTGAACGGAGTTGTAAAAGCTTTTTCAGGTCCACTTTGTCTTACGCTCCGGGAAGGTCCCATTGAGATTAAAAACCTCTTTTTCAAGGGAGTCCTGGCCAAGAATCAGTAAACGATACAGCTACAAACATACATAATATGTTTGTCAAACTTGAGGCCAGAATCCATTTTCACACCCAAGTTGGTAACGGTACTCTTCACATTAGCAGCCAAAGGTCCTATCAGCATCAATGCTGACATTATCTGCGGTACCCGGAGAGAAAACTATGACCTCAGTCTTGCCGCCATTCAGACGCAGAACGTTAGAGGCCATTTAGGATCTAATATCCCCTAAGCAGTCTAACAGGTTTGAGACAGATCTACCACCCCCCTCTGAAGGGGAAGGTAAATCTGGCAATCATCTGCATACATATTTAACTTTACTCCATGCTACCAATTGAAATGTCCCAAAGGAAGGAGGTGAATGGCAAACAGCAGGGGACCTAACCATAGCTCTTTGGCACTCCCCAGTCTAGTCCCACCCAAGACAAAGAAGGCTCCCCTAAGTTAACACAGAAGGTCTTCCCCCAAGGTAAGACAGCAGCCATCACAGGGACGAACCTGCTGACAACCACCCACTGGAGAAGGTCCAGGAGCACATTATGGTCTACGGTGATGAAGGCTGCAGACAGATCCAACAGCGTCCCCTCTGTCAGCAGCTAAAAATGTGTTGTTAAGAACTTATAGAAGTGCAGTTTCAGTGCTGTGGCCGGTTCTGAACCCAGACTGAAATGTTTCCAACAAATCACTGGAGTCTAAATGATCTACTAGCTGTAAATTTACGACTCTCTCAAGCAGTTTAGATAAATTTAGAAGATGAGAGGTAGGCCTTTAGTTAGATAGTACCAAGGCATCCAAGCTACTTTTCTTCAATACTTGACTCACAGCTGCTCTCTTGAAGGAGGTAGGCACCACACAAGAGGCTAAACTGGCATTTATAATTGCCAGTAGAAAAGGTGCTAGCACAGGAGCATTACAAGGACAAGAACCACTTGGCTTTAGCTTAAGCACTGAGCCCTTCAGCTCAGATATGGACACAGGCTGAAAAACCAAAAGTGTGGCCCTAAGTGGAACAGTCACCATGACTGGATAGGAGTCTGAATTGTTGCCACCCTTTCAACTCAGTAGTTGAGAAAATCATCACAGTTCCCAGCTTTCAGGAGCACAGAGCTACTGTCGGGATTCTCAGATCCCAGCAGCGAGTCCACGTGGGTCATGAGAGTTAGTCTCCACAATGTCTGCAAAATACCTGGCCCTAGCTTGTCTCATCTATTCCTGGTAATCAAACAACGACTGTCTATAGATTTCATGTGAGACATGTAGTTTGTCTCATTTCCACTTGCGTTCAGCCCTCAGACAGACCTGCCTGCATGCCCGAGTCTCATGTGACAGCCATGGTTCCACTCTGTGCTTGTTCTCTCATTGTCCCAACTGGCGCAACATCATCTACAATCGAGGTGCACATTGAAACAATGAGATCTACTCAATGTCAAGCTGGGCAGAAAAAGCCCCCTGCTCCACAAGAGACAAATACTCACTACGCTTAGCCACTTTAGTGGGGTTAAGGCTCGTCTGCATCATACGTGGGGGGCTGACTCAACCTGCTGAGACGGTACACTAAAATCACACCGAACCGGTGAATGATGTGTGAAAACCAGTGTTGGGCAAGTTACTTCAAAACTGTAATGCATTATTCATTACTTGTTACCCTCATTTTAAAGTAATTCATTACATTACAATATTACTGATTTTAAAATGTAAGGCATTACACTACTTTTGCACTACTTTAAGTTACTTTCACCAGAACAACTTCAATATGAATCTGGTCATGTGACGCTCAGTGAGCTCATGACATATATGTGGAAGGTGATGTGGTGTCTGAGCTAGGATTGCTGTTAAAAACAGTCAGATATAATAACAGTGCTTTAAAACGATTGTTTATTAAATAAAAGCAACAACAATCTGTACTCTCAGCACGCTGCCATCTTATATTAACTGAGCAGGGAGTGAGGTGGTGGGGGCTCCAAGCCTATATTTGCCTTGGTCTCCAAATGCCTTGATACGGCCCTGGATGTGGGACTGACTTCTGGGGTGATCTGATTCTATCACATGTATAAATATTAAATGCTTATATATTATTGCTTTTCACTGGTAGAAATGTGTATTGGGGATAAATCTACCTACTTTTTTTCTTTTCAAGCACTTTGTTTTGTTTTCTTGATTTTATTTGAATAATTTCCAGCCCTTTCTCTCTCTAACCTTCCTGTATGCTGCATGTTTTCTCCGTCTTCCAGAAAAACTGTTTCCTAGATTTCCTACTTTCTAACTCATCAGCCAAAGGGATCTACCGAACGCAAACAAAAGCTTAATATGCGCTGCGCTCCAGCAGCAATGAGTTGAAATCACCGGGGCACAGATTATGAACTCAGCTGAAAAGTACATGACGTACCAGAGAATATGGGCTGATATAAACGATCGCAGGTGAATTACTTTGTTTTGGTGGAGCGATTTTGTGAATATAACAGTGGCCGCATGCAGGACGCAGCTGGAGTATTTGAGCCATCACCGCTACGCTCTCTCTGCTCATAGAATGCCCGCAAAGCTGAGTCCATGAATGACGTCATATATGTGGAAACTGGATCTTTTTTCAGGCTTCTCGCAATTTGAATTTTTAGGAAACCCACATCTTGATTCTGGGTTTAAAAATGCATTGTAATTACCGCGTTACTGACAATTGTACCGAGTAAATATTACCATTTTCTTTCCCTGTAATGCCTTACATTACCACATTACAGCAAAAAGCAGTGCATTACAGTAATTAATTACTTTTGTACCGTGTTACTCCCAACACTGGTGAAAACATTTTCCTGAACTGTGCAAGTACAATTTTCAGGGGAAAAGATTTTTTTCAATTCTTTTGAAATGTTCAAATAAATTGCTACAAGAAATGAATTGTAACAATGCAAGCCAAAGGCTGTGCATTACCGCCAGTATCTCACCAAAAATAAGTGCTTTCTTGGCATCAAAATCCCTCCATCCATTTGTGTCCGCTTCTCCGCGGTTGGGTCATGTGGCAGCTGGCTAAGCAGAGGCCCAGACTTCCCTCTGCCCAGCCGCTTGAGCCAGTACTTCCAGGGGAATCCCAAAGTGTTCCCTGGCCAGCCTACAAACAGTCGCTCCAGCAAGTCCTGAGTCTTCCTTTAGGTCCAGGAGACATCCTAACCTAGCCTAGTGAACTAGACCAAATTCTTGCTTTGCAAAGTTTGGTCTAGGCATGCTCCATTGGAACCTCCGCAGCTCCTACCAGGACTCTGGCTGGCCAATCACAGCTCTCTAGAGGGGTTTCAAACACAAAAAGAGCTGTGATTGGTCCATAATGGTGGGCCAATCATAGTGCTCCATCTGCTTAGTGAACAAATCACAGAGCTTTATCCGCTTTGTGGGCCAATCAGGGCACTCTATATGCCTGGTGGGTGGGATGATGCAACAGAGTGAAACAAGAGTATGTCACATTCATTGTCCAGTGGAATGTGGAGATCATTTGAAAGACAACGGTAGAACCCGCCCCACAACCGAGAGCCGTCAATGGAGCGTTGCCAGACTAAATAATCCAATTATTTTGTCTGGCTTGTCAGGCTAATCCTAACCAGATACCCGAGCCACTTCAACTGACTACTCTCAATGTAGAGGACCAGCGGGTCTACTCCGAGCCCCTCCCGGATGACCGAGCTTCTCACCCTATCTCTAAAGGCCATTTTACAAGACACACCATGATGGCAAATTGGCATAATATTACCGCAATGGTGTGTCTCATAAACACACTTTGCAGGCAAGGCGTTGTGGTTATTTTTTTGCTTTCATTCCACCTCTCTTGGTAGTAATATTGCATTAATGGTCTGTCTCATAAACGGCTATTGCACATGGGGCAACAGAGGCAGGTGTTATGATGATGTGGGGAGTTACTGCCGAGCTCCAGCCAGCAAATATATTGAAAATGAAAGTAAACACGAGCAATAAGTTTTTCTTTTTGAACAAAATCAGCTGATATGGCAAACATATGGCGCCACAGCGCTCCATGACCATTACTTTGTTAGAGCTGAAGCTCAGATCATCAAAGACTGCACAGGGACGGATGGGGATGGACAGCTTTAGAGCGACTTGTTAAAAAAAACTTTACGATCACGGCTTCAATCGTAATGAAAAGCAAGTTATGTCCAAGATAAACAGAAGTCCGTGGCATCGCAGAGACCACCCCCACACCCCCTGTATGCCGCTATTGCCTAATCTTTTATAAAAAGGACAAGATGGTGCCACATTACCGCCACGGTCTGACCACTTATTAACAACCTAAGGCGCCCTGATGTCGCCACGGCGTTGAGGCATATTGACGTCATTGTTTTGTAAAAACGGCTTAAGGAAGAGCCCAGACACCCTGCGGAAGAGGGTTGAGAATCGAAAACCAGTTCTTGTTGATAACCGGTTCCCATTGTTTCAATTTCTAGGAATCGTTCGCCACGTTTGCAAATGATTCACCTTATCAATTCAAGTCGGGGCGAATAACGTCACCACGCACGTTGCGTAGCTTACGAAAGCAGGAAATATGGCGTCTAAGCGGCACAAACGCTCAGAAGTTTGGTTATACTTTACGAGAAAGGATGACAACGGGGACATCCGAAAGTTTTCTCCTGTTAATACTGCGGGTAACTAATCAACTAACACATCCTACCATGTTAGCCTCGTTTACCTTGTATATACACCTACTCACTAGTGGAGTCCAGTGACAAAGGTCTGACCTGTGGTGAGATTTTTCCCACTCTGCTAAAGCTACAGCAACACAGCACCGAACAAGAAGATGACTCTGCCTTCGCTGGAGCGTAAAGGAGAACATTTGGAAAGATCTTTCTAACCGATACAGGCACAACTGATCATTTATCATAAATAAACCGACAGTTGTAATGCAGGAGGCCGTGTGCAATTACTTTTTTGCCACCTATTGAACTACTCAGGAATTGGTAAGGAATTGGATCGATAGACAGAATCGACAATGCCATTGATATTGATAAAAGCTTATCAATTCCCAATCCTACTGTGGAGAAAAGCAGTTTTGGCCCTTTGTATCCATGATCTCATTCTTTTGGACAATACCCAAAGCTTGTGGCCATAGAGGAGGGTTGGAACAAAGATCGACCGCTAAATCTCTATCACGACAGATCAATACAATGTCTACTTCACTGTAAATGCAGAACCAGTTCGCCTGTCAACCTCACGCTCCATCTCTTCCTCACTTGTGAACAAGACCCCAAGATACTTAAACTCCCCCACTTGAGGCAGGACCTCATCCCTGACCTGAAGAAGGCATTCTACCCTTTTTTGGAACTCAAGACCATGGTCTTGGATTTAGAGGAGCTGATTCTCATCCCAGCTGCTTCACACTTGGCTGCAAATGTCTCCAGAAAAAGCCAGAAATCGCAATCGGATGAAGCCAACAGAACCACATCAGCTGCAAAAAGCAGAGACCTGATCATTAATCTACCAAAACAGTTCCCCTCAACACCTTGGCTGCACACAGAAATCCTGCCCATAAAGGTTCTGAACAGAATCGGTGATAAAGGGCAGCCTGGACAGAGTATCGGCAATGCAGACCAAGCTCTGGCACCGGTCATACAGGGACCTTAACAGCCCATAGCAGAAAGTCCAGTACTTCAAACTCCTGAAGTACCCCCCAAAGGGCCCATCGAAAGACATGGTTGAACGCCTTCTCCAAATCTACAAAACACATAGGTTGTTTTGACCAAACTCCCACGAACTGGGAAACAGAGGCGGTCCAGTGTTCCACAGTCAGGAATCAAAACTTCTTTCGTCTTTGAAATTCACGGACATATCAAACAGGATCAGAAAATAACTTTGTTCTGCTCATAGACTCCCATTATATTTTTGGCAGTAGTGGACCAGATCCAGAAGAAGATGGGCGTGATTTAGGCTCCCCATACAAGGTCACAGCAGTCTGGCTCCCCCTCCTCAAATCACCGGTCTGTGGAATGCCATCCCATTCCTCATCAGTGGTTAATGAAGGTCAATGCATGTGGTGGTGTTGTTTTATCTTGCTGTCAGTCAGGTACCAGTCATACACCTGAGACTGGAACACACCCGGCAGCTCAAAACAAGAGTCAACATCAACAGGAGAATCTTGCATCATTGGTGCATTCTTTGGGAAGCTGCTCACACGTTTAGCTGTGCTGCTCATTCCATAAAGACATGTAGTCGTGCCTTGCACTAAACCTGACTAAGAAATACAATATTGACAAGAAGCATTGTCACAAGTCAATAACTAACCATGTACAAATGTCCTTATTTTTTGTGCTAAGATTTTTAAATTATTATAGAAAAAAAACAGCATTCCAATAAAAAGTCAGAATAAAGTCCCAAGCACCATGTCCCTCTGAAATTCTCCTTGAAGACATGAAAGGAAGAAACAAAGTCTTGTGATAGCAAAGCTCAGAAACCCGACTGCATACCCGTCCTTGCAAGCACACCCAAAAAAATCAACATTTATCTACAGTAGTTTTACTACCTGTGCTTGTTTGGTTAGGCAGGAGGTTAAGTGCATCTCACACTGCAGGACAGTAGCATTAAAAGCTTTCCTTGTTACTTCAAACCATAACTGTTGCAAAAAGCCTGAGATCTCCACTCTCACAGCCTGGGAAATAACAACGGATTCAGAAAACAAGACACAGTAGTGCGCTTTGTAAAAATGAACAAAATTCATGTTTTATTTGCTTGTGACTGTTTGGTTAAAGCTTAAAAAGACAAACTCAGAACAACGTTTTTAATTTTAGTGCATCAGTGATGGACTTCCGCAGTATTTTTAATCAAAATGTAATAGAACTACGAAAGCAAACGTTTCTCTATTAATGAAAAACTTCCATATCCTTCCCTTTAATCCTACCTTCCACTGTGTCCTGACTGACTGGGTGAAGAATTCCATCTCTCTGAGCTGTGGGGGGGTACAGAAGGCCTCCATGCCCTTTGCTGCTCGCAAGAACTCTTCCAGTAACTCTGGGTCAAGAATTTTCAGAGTCTCCTAAGAGCAAAGGCAAGAACGTCAGCCTGGTGACTCACATCGTTACAGAACTTATCAACAGCTGTCAGATTTACCTGTTTAGCTGATGCCTGGTCAGCTGACAACCTTTTATCTTTAAAAACACAAATAGCTTCCATAATGTGAGCCTGTAAGCAGTGCTTGGCCTCCTCAAAGCCATTCATGGCAAGAGCTCGAGCCTTAACGTAGGCCTCTGTGTAGGCCTGGGGAGGTGCTTGAGCCAGAGCGGAAGGTTTGATGAGGAGGTCTGCTGACTCAGCCTGGATCTGAGGCGGAACAGGAACTTGAGAGAGAAGAGTGCTCTGTGATTGATGAGTTTTTTCTTGGACAGGAGTCGTGATCTGAAGTGTTGGCAGTGGGAGTGGATGAGATCTGACCTCTGGTGGTGATTGAGACTTGGACTGTGGAGATGTTTGGGGTCTGGGCTGTGATGGTAATTGTGCCTGGCGTTTGGACTGTGACACTGAGTGAGACTCAGCTGGGGTCGAAGACCCAGACTGAGGTTGAATTAGAGATGCAGGCTCTGGATGTGTTGTAGTTTCAGTCTGAACTTCAGATTTAGATGGTGATGAACATACAGGCCTATTGGCATCCGTGGGTTTAGGTAGAGGTTGTTTAGGTGTCTCAACCATGGGCTGAGCTGGTGACTGAACTTTGAGCTGAGCCTGTGGCTGACCAGAAGTTTGTGATTCAGTCTGTGCTGGCGTCTTACATTCTGGTGATGCTTCAACATTAGCTAAGGTAGCTGATGCCCTCACAAGTTGTTTGGACAACACTGGTTGAGACTCAGGTTGTATCAGTGATAAAGCCTTGGGTTGGAATAGAGGCGGTGTGTTTGTTTGGGCTGGGAATTCAAATCCTGTTTGGTCTGAAGGCATTGGTTCTGAATGTGATGCACTTTTTATGTCAGGCTTTGCATTTTTATGGAGGTGGAGATGTTTGTCATCCACAGAGGACTGCTGGAGCAGATTAGATCGGGGCTGGCTAGTCTTGGTATCGAGCTTAGCTTGTAACTTCGGCTGTGGCTGAGTGTATGTTTGAGACTGAGCCTGCAGAGGTTGAAGCTGGTCCTGTAAGGGTAGTTGTTGTTGGATTTGATGTGGTGGCTGTGGCCTGAGACCCAGCTGGGAGTGCATCTGTGGGTGATGCTGAGATTGGCCATGATTCTGGTTCTGAACCAGTAAAAAGGGCTGTGACCGAGGGTGATAAGGCTGGGATTGTACTTGTGGCGATGGTTGAACCCAAGTCTGCTGCTGAATCTGTCCTTGCTCTGTTTGAATGACACTATGAGGTCCTGTCTGGAACCTGAGTTGAACTGGATTCAGGGGGGTGGTTTGGGGTGGAGTTTGAACCCATGACTGAGCGTGGGCCCGGAGATGCGCTTGAGGCTGAGTGTAGGATAGGCCCAGATGAGAATAAGCATGGGGGCTAAGTTGAGGCCTTTGTTGGTTCCACTGAGTTTTTGCATACGCCTGAGAATTTGAAGCTTGAGTCATTTGTGAAGGGTATGGTTGTGACATTGGGGGACTCTGTTGAGAAATGGCATGGCTTTGTGCGTCCTGCTTTCCTGACCAATGCTGGGCTGGAAACTGAGACTGGTGAAAAAGCTGAGCTGTAGCCGGGAGTTGCTGCGCTGAAATTTGGGATGAGGGTCCAACCTGAGTCCAAGCCTGCAGTTGGCTTTGGGAATGAAGACTGAGTTGCAGGACTTGAGATTGACCATGGTAAGTAGTGTCAGTGAGTGAATGATCCTGATGATGGGCTGACGGTTGAATGTGATGGAAGGTTGGCGGTTGGGTCTGACCTGGTCTAACCATTGGCTGGACATGGGTTTGACCCTGGCCAATAGGCAGAATATTGGTTTGAATGTTAGAAGTTTGGGGAGGGATTCGAACCTGGCTCACTGACTGGGTATGAGTTTGAGAATACATCATAGACTGAGGAAGGGCTTGAGTCTGTGTTCCTGATTGTAAATAGATCTGAGGTTGGTTTGTTGTCTGGGTTTGGATTTCAGATTGATTCTTCATTGTGAGTTGGGCTTTATCCTGACCTCTGAGATGAGAGGGAATTGAAGAATCAATTATGGTCTGAGTTTTAGTAAAGGTTTGTGATTGGCCATGGATCTCAGGATGATCGTGTGTTGGTGGTTTGGGAGAAGGAGGCCTGACAGGGGCCCACGATTGTGGCTGACGACAAAATTGAACGTGAGATGGCACTGGGGGCTGGATAAAACCTAGAGGAGATGGCATTTGGGCAGAGGATCTAATTGTAGTCTGCGTCTGAATCTGAGCAGTAGCTGAACTGTGGGGTGGATTTTGTGGCTGTGACAGTAGCTGAAATTCTGCAGGAACACATGTTTGGGACTGGGTAGGTGATTGGGACCTAATAGGGCCACGAGGTTTTACAAAACATTCATTTATTTCAGATGGTGGCATGCTTGATGTTGTTGATTGTTGGCTGTCAGCAGAAGGGTAAGACACACCTGCTGGCTGGAATGGGCCTTTAGCTGTGTGTTCACCTGACTGAGTCACGGACTGAGTCTGGGTTACAGCCTGGCATGTGGCTTGGGTGTCTGAATCCCGCTTTTGGCGGTCTTGACGGTGTTGTTTTTGTTGCTCCTGTACTTGATGTTGAGTTTGCTGTGTCTCTATCAGTTCCTTCTCTAGCTGCTGTGCCTCTTTGAGCTTTTCGTGTGATTCAGGGTGTGCCCTACTTGCTGGTGAGTGTGAAACAACCTGAGAAGTGATCACTGCCTCACTTTTTACCTGTGATTTGGTTTCTCTAGGCTGAACTGGATTCTGACCAGAATCTTTGTTTGGAAATGAAGCTGGAGTTTCCATCAAGGCTGATTTTTGAAGCCAGGGTCGATTCTTCATGGCCTGAGCTTTTCTGCTCTGAAGCTCCTGGGAGCTGACAGCTTTTTGTGCTGCTGGTTGATGATGTAAAGTCCTCTCGTGAACCTCTTCTATCAGTTTACTTTGTGTACTGTGTTGCACATTTGTAACTGTGTGCTGTTCGCCCTGACACATACAGGCATCGGCCTGGCGCTCTTGTTCTTGTCTCTGCTGGGGTTGAGGAGGGAGCTCTTGCTTCAACGCTTTTGTTTCTTCCAGTGATTGCTCTTGTTTGAGCTGTTGCTGTTCTAGTTCATTTTCCATCTCTCTGCTAAGCCCTTGTTGCAGCTGCTGCTGCTCTGGTATCAGACTTGGAACTTGAGTCTTCTGCTGCTTTTGGGCCACACTCTGAAGACACACCTGGGTCTGGCACTCTGGTTGCGACTTTGTCCCTGTCTGCATCACAGCTTGTGCGTAGGAATATGGCATTGGCGGAGATGCTACCTTTTCTTCTCTGTATTCCTGGATTACTATTTTTGGCACAAATGCTTCAGCACCATGATGTGAAACTAAATTCATTTGAGAATCCTGAGTTGACGTCCTGGTATCTGAGGTTCTGAGATGATGAGGTTTTGTTTTTGCTTGGATAAAGACCTTGGATGGGGGGCCTGTCTCCGGCGGGCTTCTGCTTCTGTCTCTTCTAGCACCCAAGCTGCTTAGCTTACCGATAGCCTCCTGAATGCAAAAACAGACGTTTTAAAAAAGTCTGTCCACGCATCTGTGTATACATACACTGTATGACAGCTTGCCTGAGACTGAGCAACAGCAGCTTGAACTCGTTCCTGCATGGCAGTAGCACGTAGATACTGGATGGGGGAGCTTTTCTGACTTGACATTATTATAACCTGCAAATCCTGCTCCTCTGTGACAACCTGGCCCTCCAGTTGTAGACCACGAGATATGATGACCTACAGATACAAATAGTGCTGATAGTCAGTAAACCTCATCATGTTTGTATACCCACCATGCATTTCTATATTGTATTGAGATACGTACACTGGTCAAATTAGAAAACAACAGTATGTTACAACTTTGTCCAACCTTGGATTTCTGGAGGCCATCTTACCCTGGCTCTTGGATCCTGTCCTTGCTGCTTTTTCTGCCGATCTGTAGCCTTCAGCAGCCCACACAGTTCCCTGGCCTCCATTTCCCAGAGTAGGAGCTCAGCTAGCCTTGTGTCCAGCCCAGACACACTGTGCTGCAGCTCTGCACAAATCTGCTCTGCCTCAAACAAGGTCTGCATCACCTAGTGGAACAGACGGTTTACTTCCTATGGCATGATAAAGTAACTCTACTTTTTAACATGTAGTGAAATGTCAATGAAATGTTTAGAAAAAAAGGAAAGGACAGCTCATTGTTTCTTACTTCAGGAACAGCAAGCCTCAGATTACGTAGCTGGTCAGATGGGCATTCTGGAGAAGGGTCTACAGTGTCTAGATCCACTTCTTTTATCTTCCTCATAATGAACTGAGGAGCAAAAACCAAAATAATCAGTTCATGTCAGACCTTTCTGGTCATTAACAAAGGATGGTGACTCAAAAGGCCCAACCTGTAGTCTTTTCCTGTAGGTGCGTAAACCCCCTGCTGATGCTTCCAGAGGTTCTTTAAGTATTAGAGTGGCTTCTCTGATCAAAGCCTGGAGGTCCTGGGTGTCGGCCTGTCGATCTGCACCGGCTTCAGCTGAGCTTTCCTGGAAAAGATACAATATACCAGGAATAACGTGAGAAGTAGCAGTGATCCCAAAGTAAGCAGTCCTGACTGCGTTAGCACAAAATCAACTAAACTTTATCATTTTCTAATCTGTCTGTTTCATCCGTGTTTATTTCAATGTTAGGTGACATCATTTAATTCTTTTGTAAGTGGAAACTGAAACAGAAGTTAGATTTTAATGTGATTTCACCGTTGATGAGACTCAGTCAGAAGTGCGTGAATACTGTTTAACAGGGATTTAAGCACATGAAAAGAAAGTCAACAGCCTTGTTTAACTCACAGAAGTGTTTCTCTCGATGAACTCAGCCCAATGCATGTTGAGCTTTCGAAGTTCTTCTGCCAGCTTCTTGCTTGTTGGAGAATCCGTCGACTCGATCAGGAAGTTACCCAATTTGTTTAAATGGGCGTGTCGGGCTCCCCACTCGGCTCTGGAATCATTTGTTACCTTAACAAAAACACAAGGTGGTACAGAAATGCAGAACTGAAGTGGAAAATCCATGATAGGCACAGTCTTGAAGGACCTGACCCCTATGACCACCAGTACAATGTGGAGGGGGTAGGCCGGGTGGACCAAACACCAGAGGATATGGCTCAAAAACCTGTGGTTGTTATAAATAAATGTCAGACATCAACAATTGATGGATATTTAATTTCAGCGTATTTTTATTATTTTATTAGGCTGCAGGTTCTTTATTTTCTGCTATTCCTTTCTGTAGTTCGGCTGCTCTGAGCCATGTTAACCACTATCCACTCCCAGTTCAACATTGACTTCTTAAAAGTGAAAACATGAACTTTTGAACATGAATGTGCAAATAAAATAAATGTTTGGGAATAAAACTGTATCTCCACGTGATAAAAGCAAGAGGGATGAGCCACTAACGACCTTGTGTTACCAGTAATCAAACAACAAAGAAGAGTTAATCATACTGTAGCTCTGTTGCCACGGCTACGTGTTGCTGATCCCTGCTCCAGCCAGGCCTGAAGAGTGCTGAGGCAGTCGCTGTACGAGTCCCAGGCAGACAGGACCCGACCCATGACGCTCTTGGCTGCGGTCACTTCCTCCAGAACGACCACAGTTTTCTCCTCAAGCTGTTTCACCTGCTGACTGACGCGGTGGTAATCCTCAGCTGAGGAGCAAAAACCAACACCAGTTAAATCTCAGTCATTCTCTGATGAATGGGTGAATTTTATCAAACCGGTCATAGCTACAGGACGCTCACCAAGGGCAGATTTGCTTGAATATTTCTCGGAGACTTGCTTTAGTTTGCGAACAGCAGTTTCCAACAACACAGGAAGTTCCTGTCTGTCTACCATTTCCTGTAGTCATAAATTAAAACGTCCACACAAAACCCGTCAGACAGCAACAAAACACGACGTTTTTCATATTATACCCAGTTTACAACTAACCGTGTATAAACCCTACACGTTTATCATTATAACCTAATCTAAGTTACTTTTATGCAATAAATATCTACAATGGAAAATGTATTAAAAACACAGGAAGGTTAGTTATGAATGGTGAACATGTTAAAAGTTTCTGCATCATTTCAGCTCAACCAGCCCATGGTGCAGATTTTAGTCAGTTAAAACCGACCTGAACCATGAAAAATGTATGTTTAAACATAATGACCTTGCATTACTATAAACTCATCAGATCACACACTTACATGCCATTCCTGCAGCAACACCCTGACTGCCTCTTGGGAGATATACGGTGTCTTCCAAATGCGAAGCTTGGTTTGGATCTGTCCCAACAGGTCCAGAGCTGTGTGTCGGTGCTCCCGGAACTCCAGCTTGATGCCATGGTACTTAGCAGTCACTCTCACACTGGTAAATCTGGTGGAGAAGGTCCACAGACCAAAAATGGTGGCATTAAATCACAACTTTAAATTGGAGATCTTGACCACTTGTCCTTAAGCCCAGCTCATGATACCATCTCTGCAAAACCCTAAAGCTCTCATTTACTCTTGTTTTCTAATGAATCTGCCGTTGCCTGCCTTGAGTTGGGGAAGCAAAGCTCTGGCTCTCCTGTTTCAGGAAGTAGAAGTTAGCCGGAGGAATGAGGAGCAGAAAACAGAAAGGTTTGGAGTCAATACGACACGACTCTTTCACTGACTCTATTTGCATTGCAACATAGATGTTTTATCTTCACAAATAACACAAGTCTGAAGCAGTTCTGCTGTGTGGTGGAGATGCTAATGCTAACGGATAGCTTCTACTAGCCAAGATGTGCTCTGCTCTCTCCTGGACTCTAAACCAACAACGGCCTTTTCCATTGCAAGCCAAGATGGGTGAGTCCATGAATGCTGAATTTCAGTGTAACCTAGACCTGACTGGCTTTCTAATCCGAGTTTCACCTGTAATCAACAGCTGATGCAGGAAATAGAGGTAGAAGACTTTTTCCATGTTCAGCCTGCATTTTAAACTCAGCGTGACTGAGTGTAAATAAACAAAAACAATCTTCTCAGTGAACCTTCTCTGTTCCACAGACATGAGATGACATCAACAACACACCTCTTCTTTAGCTCGTCCATCTTATCAGTAGGAACCACCATGTTTCCATATACATCTGTGTTTTGGAAGGATTGGAAGGTTTTTAACTGCTGTGGCATCTCCTCCAAGCAAACCTGCAGCAACAAGCAGCAAAACCATTTAAATTCCAGGGACCTCATGTATCAAACGTTCATAGAAATATTCCAAAATCCCTTCCTATGAACGAAATTTAGAGTGTTCGTTCAAACGGTCAAAAATCCTGATTTATGAAACGTACGGTGGCCTCTCGTACGCACATTCCTCCGCACTCGTCTGATGGCAAATTCCACCTGTGCATCCCCAGGTGCTTGCGTCCGTTCTCAGTCATTTACATAAAGGAACGCCCTCAATTAACCATATTTGGTCACTCTACATCCTCAACATGTAAGGGGGTTCCCGTGTTCTACCCGGAAAAAAGAAAAATTGCGAGATCAAGACACTTTCTGTCGAAGAGCAAAAGAACCAAACAAGTTGCAGAGATTGTAAACGCGGTCGGGACCAAGGGCGCCCCCAAGGGGTGGCCACCCCTAGAAAAGTGCTGGCCCCCTCAGGAAAAGTCGGTGTTAATAAATCATACTAATGTTCAGTCAAACCATCAATTGATCTTGTTTATTCAAGACATAGTTGTAAAACAAAATGAAAATAATACAATTAATAAGTAAAGAAATAATCTGAATAAATAAATAAATACATATGTTTCCGTTGCTCACCATTTTAAAAAGTTTCTACCTTCACAGTTTTTTGTGAACACAGCAACAGGTGAATTAACCTAAAAAAACTAAAATTTAAATTCAATTTGGAACAACATTTTAAATACCTGAAATGTACTTTTCTGAAATGTTTGTGTTTGTAAAATTTAAGTTAAATGTTTTGGATTCGTACTGCTTTTTTAATTAAAATGAATAAAGGAGCAATGCAGCACGTCGCCACAAGCTAAACTCTCCCAGAGCTACCACAAGGACCGATTTTGGTGTGCCACCACTAAAATTGGTTTGGCCCCGTCTGGCCACCCCTATCAAAAATTTTCTGGAGGCGCCCCTGGTCGGAACAGAGGAGAGGTTCCTGACAGGAATAAATAAAAACTTTAATCTGATAAATCGTAGAGTAACGGGTTCTCCTTTACATTTAAGGAGTCCTTCTGGATGAAGTTAGTTACATTTGAAAATGTCTGAGTGCAGCCTCTAAGCTGTCATTCAGTCTGGTTACCATGACAATGCGTATGCGTTCGGGGAGCAGAGGAGGTTCTCATAGTTGTAAAATAGAATATGAACTGGAATCAGATTTGTGCGGTCTATCCGTCGCTCCACAAAGGATCCCAAATCCCAGCACAGCTCCAGGATCTGCTGTCAGCACTCTCACAGAAACATGTTTCCTCCAGAGAGCAGCTCTGACAAACCCTTAATAATAATACAGAAACGTTCTTTTATCGAAAGCATCTCAAGCTAAATCACGAGGCATCTCATAAGGACAAAAATATAATATAATAAAATTCTATCAAAAGTCATATTAATTTATTAAAAATATCAAAAACATTATAAAAATAAGAAGAGAAAAAAATTTTATTACAAAAACCTGACAACCGTTCTGCAAAGTCAGATTCCCGTTGGGTCTTGCAGCACCAGTCATGTGACCGCTGTTTTCCACCCAAATCTTCATTTAATGGGTAAAATAATGAGTGGATGAGGAAAATGTGTGGACCTTCTACAGTGCTACAGATCCCCCGTCCTACCACCAGATGCTGTTCCTGCGCATGGTCTGAGGTGTTCTTATATTTCCACCCACAGGTACAAAACGATGAGTATCGCACAGTGATACATGATACGGTTGATACGTGAGGCCCCAGATGTCTGAACAACGGTATACAACTTTTGTTCTTCAGAGAAGGTTCCTAAGCATGAACTCGTGTTGGGTTTATGCAAACCCCTAAATGTGTTACATGGTGTAAAGATGATGAATTACTCTGAGCAGCTCCTGCTTCTCTCTAGCGTCATCAGCAGCACAGCCATGGTCCTGAGGGTCTCCTGGCTCCTCCGTCAAGGCCCCCTCGGTTCTCAACAGCCAGCGGGCCACAGAGTCCAAGGGTGGTGGAAGGCTGATGTCCACCTCCATTTTATACTCATTTATCTGCATAAAAACACAGAGGAAACGGTCACAACCCATTATCTTTCAAACAAATAACAGATAAAAGAAAAATAAATAATAAAAACCAACAGGTGTCCCTTTTAGGGGACACTGCATCTCAGGAGGATTTAGTTATGTTACGATTATAATTACAAGTTCAGCCTTCTTTTACCAGTTTATCTAAAATTTTCCTTTCTAAGTAAAGCTAATTAAAGCTACTGGAGCCTGAAACTGAGCAGAACCTTTTGGTTGAGGGAGTCCCAGGCCTCTCGGAGAGCCCGTTGCTCTTCACTCAGTTTGTGAGCTCGTTTCATTGCCGTCAGCAAAGGCATGATGGGTCGTCGCTGCTCATTAAAGGACACCAGAAATGTCTGAAACACCTGGAGAGAGACACACGTTCCTGACATAACAAGTCAAACATCAACAATCAGTCAAAGGGACAGATTTCAGCGATCCTGTTGCTGTAAACACCAACCCTGCTTTTAACAACATTAAGCTGCGTGCTAACATTTAGAAATAGCATTTTCATGGAAAATGATCATTGCAATGACATTTTATTACAACTACACTGATTCGGGTTACTACGAACGTTTGTATGAATAAAAAAACTGTGAAGAGGAACAGCAGAAAGCATACGTGGAATCGTTCTGAGTAGCTTTCTCCTTCGGTAGAGTCCCATCCCTCCAGCAGCTCATCGTAGGCCTGAATCAGCCAACAGGTGACCTCCTGAACTTTACGATCAGTTGTTGTCTGAATACGAAACAAAGAAAAGGATTAAAAACGTTTTTCTTTGAGATCCTTGTGTGTAAAAATGTTTTAGGTCAATTTTAGAATAAATTACAACATTTCTGCTAACAATCTGAAGGATGCAGATGCAGCTACATGTGAGCATGTTTTATTTACACTCAGTAGTTACTCGGGACTTTTTGTGTAGGACTAAATGCATACTATTGATGTTGTGAGAAAAAAGCAACAAGAGACACAGTGGAGGACGAAGGCGGACAGTGGCTACGTTTACATGGGCACAAATTATCGGAATAAATGCCCTGTCAGATCAAAAAATTCAAAATGAAAAATCGTAATAATCTGATCCATACGGCCCGAACGGAATGAAATTTACTTCCCATTAAGAGAGTTGGTTTTGTCTGATCATAATTCTGACTGACGTCCATGTACACACCCGCTGGAATTGTTGGAGAAATAATAATGCCCGCTGCGCATGTGTGCAACTTCAGCGTGACACCTTTCCACCTTTGCAGATGCTCAGGACAAGTCAAAAACATGGTGGGAAGGGATAGAAATTTTCTGTTTCCTGAAAACACTACGGGAGCTCAATATTATGGAACTGAATATTCCAGAACTGCGCTGCTTTGGGTGGCTGCATGTTGGAGTAGTTCTGTTTACTATATGTAAGTTTGGCCTTTTCTTGGACATTTTTTCTTCTAGTTTCTCAAGAAAAAATATATATATATTTTTGGATATTTTACTTTTCTGTTAGTGGTGTGGTGAAGCTTGGAGGATTTTTACAGCTATATTTTCACTTTCATCAGTTTTTGAGCATTTGTTATGATGCGTAACCATGGCAACAAGCTGGTTTACAATCGGGAGCAGCTGATCAACATTGGGAAGGCTGAAATAATACCTCAACTGAAGCCACAAATCCCAAATGAGCTAAAACGCAAGAAGCGTGGATGCAGAGCGGGAGCAAAACGGAGACAGAGAAAGAGGAAATTCAAACCGTCTCTTCCATCGATCATAATGGGCAATGTGAGATCACTGGCCAACAAGATGGAGGAACTCCAAGCCCTTTCAAGGACTCAGCCAGAGTTTCGGCAGTGCAGTGTTATGGGTTTCACTGAGACGTGGCTGCAGGACCATATCCCCGATTCCAGTATCTCTCTGCCGGGATTCCTGACTGTACGAGCAGACAGAGATCTGAAGAGGAGCGGGAAAAGAAAAGGAGGAGGAGGGGCAGTGCTTGTCAACAACAGATGGTGTCATCCAGGTCATGTTTCAGTGAAATGTCGTCTCTGCAGCCCAGATGTTGAACTCTTGGCAGTAAGTTGTCGCCCATATTATTTGCCAAGAGAGTTCACCAGTGTTGTCTTGGCAACCGTTTATGTTCCACCTTCAGCCATTGCTGAAAGTGCATGTGATGCCATCAGTTCATTTGTTGCTAAGCTACAAACACAGCACCCCAATGCATTTGTGGCTATATCTGATGATTTTAATCATGCCTCACTCTCTGCTACACTTCCAACATTTCAACAGTTTGTCAGCTGCTCCACCAGAGAAAACAAGACATTGGATTTGTGCTATGCAAATGCAAAGAATGCATACATGTCCAAAACAAGACCTCTGGGACAATCAGATCACAGTCTTGCTTTTCTCTGCTCAGAATACAAACCACTTGTTCAGAGGCAACCTGTGACAAGAAGAAATGTGAGAAAATGGTCACAGGATGCTGAAGAAGCCCTGCAGGGTTGTTTTGAGACCACAGATTGGATGACTCTCTGCCAAGAATGTGAAGAGGACATCAATGCCATGACTGGATGTGTCACTGGCTATATAAACTTCTGTGTGGACACATCATACCCACCAGAACAGTGAGATGCTTTGCTAACATCAAACCCTGGATCACCAGTGAACTGAAGAATCTGCTAAATGAGAAAAAAGAGCCTTCAAGGAGGGAGACAGGGAATTATTGAGGAGTATACAGAAGCAACTGAAGATCAAGATCAGAGACAGCAAGGAGGCATACAGGAAGAAGCTGGAGAACAAACTACAGAGGAACAATATCAGAGATGTCTGGTCAGGGATGAAGAACATCACAGGGTTCAAGCAGAGGAAGGATTGCACAGATGGCAGCCTGGACACAGCCAATGAGCTGAACAAGTTCTTCAACTGGTTCAGTTCAGGAACAAACCCAGCATCCTCCTCGCCTGTCCCCAGCCAATCAGGCATCCCATCCTCCTCTGATCCAACATTTTCCTGTCACACACCAGCAATTTTGTCCTCCAACGCAGTCATGGACTCATCTGGTTCTATAAATCTGTCTTCAACCAAATCAGGAGATGCTGTTGCCCCATTTACCCCCCCCCCCCCTCCCTGCCACCACCTATCTGTCTCTAGAAGTCGGGTGAAGAGGCAGCTGGAGAGACTGAACAGGAACAAAGGTGCAGGTCCAGATGATGTCAGCCCCAGAGTCTTGAAGGCCTGTGCAGAGCAGCTCCTTTTCAACCTCAGCCTGGCCCAGGAGAAGGTTCCAGTCCTGTGGAAGACATCCTGCCTTGTTCCAGTTCCAAAGAAAACTCGCCCATCAGTCAATGACGACTACAGACCAGTTGCCCTGACATCCCACATCATGAAGGTCCTGGAGAGACTCCTGTTGGTCCACCTGAATAAGCAAACTAGAACATATCAGGACCCGCTGCAGTTTGCTTATCGCCATGGAGTTGGAGTTGAAGATGCCATCATCCAGCGGCTTCAACCAATCCACTGTCATCTGGACAAAGCAGGCAGCACTGTGAGGGTCATGTTCTTTGATGTCTCCAGTGCATTTAACACAATTCATCCTGATGTACTTTGCCAGAAACTCCAGAAGACACAGGTGGGGGCCTCAACTATCACCTGGATTAAAGACTACCTGACAAACAGACAACAGTTTGTGAGGCTGAAGAACTGCACATCAAACCAGGCGATCAGTAACATTGGAGCACCACAGGGGACTGTACTCTCACCATTCCTTTTCACCCTGTACACCTCAGACTTCCAGTACAAATCAGAGACCTGTCATCTACAGAAATACTCAGATGACTCTGCAGTTGTCGGGTGTATCAGAGATGGACAGGAAGATGAGTATAGAGAGTATGAGTTTACAAGAAGGGACACAGCAGACTGCACTTCTTGAGGATGGTTAGGTCCTTCAATGTCTGTAGCAAGATGCTGCAGATCTTCTACAAGTCTGTTGTTGAGAGTGTAATCTCTTCAGCCATCGTCTGTTGGGGTAGCAGCATCAGAAGCAGGGACCTGAAAAGGCTCAACAGCTTAATAACAAAGGCTGGTTCTGTTCTGGGGACGACTGTGGAACCACTGGAGGAGATAATGCAAAGAAGGATTCTCCAGAGAATCAAGAAAATGATGGACAACCCTGAGCATTCTCTTCACATGACCATCCGACAACGGAAGAGTGTCTTCAGTCAGAGGCTTCTTCAGTTTTGCTGCAACACTGACCGTTACTGGAGATCCTTCCTGCCAACAGCCATTGTAATATACAATAACTCTTTGATGACTTATTATTATTATTCTGAGCTACTACAGCAATCAATTGGATCAATAAAGTATTTTTGAATTGAACTGAATTGAATTGAACGTCTGGATAGCTGAAAGGCTAGGAAGAACTAAAGACGCAGGACGCATATTGGGTCAATCCTGGAGCTCAGAGATGGATTACACCGTGCTGTGAACACACAAACTCATATAATTGTCGAGATGAGTCGTAAGCTTGGAACTTTGGCTGAGATTCAGGCTCTGGCACAGAAGATGTATTCGATCAAGGAGCGAGTTGACAGGACAGCACGGTTGGGAACAGACTAATTTACGCCATTATTGGATCAAGAGGGGTTGGAGACCAACAGAACTTTAAGACAGAGAGGAAATTATCTCTGTCTGGCCCCAAAACAAGTTCTTATCTGAATTTGGTGCCCTTGAGCCTGTGAGGCTGAAGTGATTACACCCCCTCAGAAGAAATGTCGAATGCTGCCATCGCCATGGCAACTCTGTCTCCCTATCCCAGCCTGGGCGGGACTGTGACCGGTGAAGGCAGTGGAACCGTTTCCAGGAGTCACTGTGCTCTTCAACCCAATTTCCTCCCTCCCCTGTCCAAACGGAGGTGACGAATGCTGCTCAGCAGCATGCACTGATGTGTGGAGAGTCCCCAACCCTACCTCCCCACCTAGTGGACACATATGTTGTGTAATGTCTGAAGTCTGTTGCATTTCTGTGTGAGGTGTTTTTTGCACAGCAATCCTGCCCTCCCTGTAGAGGGTAACTCTGAAGTGCCTTTTTTTCCTCCACCTGACTCAGTCCTCATATAAACCCTCTGATCTCTATTAAGGACAGTGAAGACTGTCACCAGGGTCCTCATCTTTGATATCTATAATTCCTCTGCAACCGGATCCTCAACTCTGTCACTGGCAGGCGGAGTCCATTCAAAGCCTCTGTCGGAAGATCCCCGTGAGTGATCGCATGGACGGCAGCTTTCGGCGGCGGCGAATCAGTGGGGCTAACTTGGCTAACCTTAGCTATCCCAAGGTGATCGGCTCTGGCGGGCGCTCCAAACCCGGCTCCAAGACGTCCACTTCACTCCTCAGGATTGCTCTCATGAATGTCCGATCGATTGGGAATAAAATTGCTTTTTTGAAAGACTATTTCATCGACCAGTCAATAAACCTGTTCTTCATGACTGAAACCTGGGTCCAGCCTGGTGAGTTGGCCCCTCTATCAGAACTTTGTCCTCCTGAATGCCTAGTCTTAAACGAGCCCAGACCCTCTGGTCGTGGTGGGGGTTTGCTGACTTTATACAACTCCTTTCTCCTTCTGAAACCACTCTCTGGTTTTGTGACTCCCTCCAGCTTTGAGCTGTCAGTGTTTGAATTAGCCTGCTGCCCACCTGTACTCTGTGCTCTCTGTTATCGCCCACCTGTAACTCAGTCTTTCTAAATGAATTTTCAGACTTTTTAGCTGATTTC